GACTTTCCCTCTGTCTCCTTAAGACAGATTGGCCCTCCAGCAATGATTCTCTGTTCTGCTGCACTATCCATCTGTGGCAATGTTGTTTTGTATTCCAGATTATAACATACACAAAACCACTCTGTACTGGACTTCCCCTCCAGGTACTGTTCCATTCCTCTTTCCCTTTATAGTAAATGGCTTGAAAAAGTTGGTGATGCTCACAATCGCATTCCCTGTACTGCCAGCACTCCAGCAAAGCCACCTTGTGTGATCAAGTCACCAATGAGCATGCTCAGTGTGGGCCCTCCTCTAGGTGATCTATCAGCAGTGCTCATCCAGCCTCAGGGCTTCAGATTCTATCTGTGTGCCAGCAGGCCCCCCAGTTCTCCCTCCCACCTAGTCCTTTCTCCTGATCCCTACACTTAAATGTAACTGCTTATTTGACTTTCAAACTTAACCATCTACTAAGGAGCCCAAACTAAGTCCCAATCTTCCTTCCAAACAACTGTCCCTCCTGTAATCCTGTTCATGGCCAATCCATCTTTCCCGTTGCTTAGATCAAAAGACTCTAGAATTACCAATGATTTCTCTCATTCAGTCTCTACAGACCATACTAGCCTGGCAAAGCTACCAGTTCTACCTTCAAAATAAACCACAATAAACTAGGAATTCATTTATAGTTATCCTGCGGTATCAAGAATTTGTTCCAGGAGCCCCCACAGAGAGCAAAGTCCACAGAAGCTCAAGTCCCTTATATAAAAATGGCATAGTGTTTGCAGAGAACCACACCATCTTCCCACAGACTTTAGATCATTTCTAGATTAYTTGTAATGCCTAATAAAATGCAAAAGCTAAATAAATAGTTGTTATACTATATATTTTAGGAAGTAATGACAATAAAAAAGACTGTGTGTGTTCAAGACAGACACATTTTTTTCTCTCTCTCTCTCTCAAATGTTTGCAATTCCTGGTTGAACCTGCATATCCAGATTCAGCTGTACTTCCTATCACCACCACAGTCCAGGGCACGCTGCCTTCACCTCTCACCTGCATCGTTGGGTATGGAATTCCTAACTGGTCTCCAGGTTCTTCTCTGGCCCTCCCTTCACTTATTCTCAACACAGCAGCCAAAGGGATCTTGTCAGGCTCTGACACTTCTCTGTCCAAAATGCTGGGGTGCAATCACTGTGCCATGATGACAAGTCCCCTTTCCCTCCCTGGCCACCCTCCTCTTCTCACCCCTTCATCCACTCTGCTCCAGTGACCTGGTCCCCTTGCTGCTCTTCAGTACGGACCCCTCTGCCCGTGCTGTTATCTCCTTTACTGGGACGGAGGTCATTAAACTCCAATCCCCACCCTCCACTACACTCAGCCCATCTGGTCTACAGACAGATTTGCTTAGTTTTCTTATCACCCATCTCCTCAACTAGAATCTGAGTGCCCAAGAGGACCCGTCTTGCTGCTCACAATATTGCCCCAACACTTAGAACATGTTTGAGAAAATAAAAGACTGGCTAAATGAGTGAGTGGATGAATGAATGAATGCACCTGAGACCTTCCAAGTAGGCCACCCCAGGGTGAGCCATCAGCAATGACAGCTGCCTGCCTTGTGGGGACGGCCAGGCTTTCCAATCCGCAGCTCACATGCTGCCTCCTGGAGTCCGTCAGTGGTGGCTGCGGGACCCCAGAGCAAACATGTCTGAAAGGGCTTGCTGATTCCCTTATGAAACAGCAGAGAAGGACTGACCCTCTAAGCCTCCTTTCCAGGAGACCCAGGTTAACAACGGCTCTGCCAGGAAACCTTCCCAGGCTGACTGAGCCCACCTGCGAGCATCATGCTTGCCCAGACATGTCTGGCATTTGCGGGCTCCTGGCACTTCTTTGTTTCCTCTGTATTTCTGGTAGAAGGGAGATAAAGTGCTTTTGATGACAGTCCCTGTTTAATGCCACAAATCAGTCTTTCAGCACAAAGCCTGGAGACAAATGGCRGGCCCCAAGGGACTGGTGAGGCTGGGTTCTACCTGGGATTCTGCCAATGGTCCCCATCCCGAGCAAGTAGAGAGATGGATGTGTGGGTGGGGAACCAGGCCCACTGAGCTGAGCCACCAAGCACAGGTAGAACTGTGTGAGGGTGTCCCTCTGGTTGCTGCTCCTGGACATGCTGCTGGGGATAACAAGCATGGTCTTTGAGGTCAGAACTGCCACCTGCCCGCTCCCTTACTGGCCATGTCATCTTTAACAAATTACTTAGACTCTTTGTTATTTCTTCTCTATTTTTCTTTTTATCTTTTAACATAGTGAAATATATGAACATCCAGAAAAGTACTTAAAGTATAAATATACAGATTAATATCATTATTGCAAAATGAACACCTGCATAACTCTACCCAAGTCAAGCAAAGAACATTCCAGAAACCGTATTCCCCTCCCCCACTCTTAACCTCCTCCCTCCTCCCTACCATCCTGGGTTTTAAGGCTTTAAGGCATTTATTTCTTTGCTTTGTATTTTTGTGATGAATTTTTGCTATAAATTTGATATAACTGGAATAATAAAGCATATTATTTTGGGGTTTATCTGGCTTCCTGAGTTCCACATCATTTTAAAGGATCATGCATGTTGTYAGGTGGAGCAATTCTTTCACGTTGTGGAATTTCCCAAGTAGTTATTTATTTCCCATTGGAGTTATTTATTCACMGTACTGTTGCTGAGCATTTGGGTTAGTGTCAGGCTATTAAAGTATGATTGCCATGAACATCTTATGTGTTCTGAGCACATCAGCTATTCCTGAAGCTGTACCTACATTTCTATATAGGACATGCCTCCTAGTGGAACTTCTGGGACCCCCGCAGGCAACAGCATCAACTTTACCAGGTATGCCAGACAATTTCCCCAGTAATACATGCAAGACTCTGTAGCCCTCTAACTTCATCACCACTTGGAACTTTCTTTTTCATTTAGTCATTCTGGTGGTGAGCAGATGAACCATGTTGTAGTTTATTTTGCATTTCTCTGATAATCAATGTGGTTGCACACCACTGACCATGACCATGGTCATGACTGCTTTTTTTAAAAAGTGCCCATCCAAGCCTCTTTCCGTGTTGCTACTGGCTTGTCTGTCTTTGCCTTATTGATTTATAAGAGGCTGGGAAGTGAGTCATTTGATGGGTCTATGTGTTGTAAACACCTTCTCTCAGACTATATCTCTTTTTAGTCTCCTAATCTACCTTTTAAAGAATAAATGCTCTTGTTTTATGTAGAATAATTCATCAATCTTTTCCAAACATATTAGTGTTTTGGGTAATTTATTTTTTTTTAACCATCTTTCTCCACCCAAGGTCTTGATGATGTCTTGCCTCCTGGTACTCTAAGGTGCCACCTATCATCAATCAAAGTCACGCGGGATTCTGCTTCTAGGCTCTACCTGTTCCACAGGCTCACTTTCAACAACGTTGCACCAAAGGAAGCCGTTGGGAGGTTGTGGCAGTGTCTGGGTGGCTCCTGCCTTCCAGATATTAAACTGGAATTATAGGTCAAATTTGCTGCAACCATCAGGGTCAAGGAGGCCACAGCTGACAGTGTGATGCTATTTATGAAGTCCAGGAGAATAACTTAGCTTCCAACACCACACTAAGCCTTCTATGTGTGATTTAATGAAGGTGGTCAGGCAGGGCGTAACCAGGGATGAGAGAGGAGGGCTGGGGTGACGGGCAAAGGACGGCTTAGCTTATGGGGCTTGCCAGATTTGGAGATGGGCTCTCAGCCCCCAGGGTGAGAGTCTGTTTCTGCCTGGAGTCTGCACCTATGAACACGGCAGGGAGAGCGGGGATGCTCCCAGCTTGTGTGTCAGGACCCACCCCAGTCCTGAGACTCCCCACATCCAGCAGGGAGTTGGTGTCCTCTTCCACCAGGTCCCAGGGGATGGAGGCCCTATCCTGAAAGTTCTTTCCTGACTTTGCACGAATACCAACCTACACAGGCAACAGCCAGATAGCTTTCCTTCCAGACCATAGGCATAACTCCATCTCCATCTTCAGAACTTATTTGCAGATGGCCACTATGCACCAACCACCTCCTCCACTCCACCCCAGCATGTCCCCCTTACTTCTTGTCTCATGACTACCTTGACCTACTGTGGTCACTCTCATCGATCTGGTCCAGGGCCCAGACCTCCCTCACCTCAGGCCCTCCCACTCTCCCTGTCTTCAGCCCCTGAGACACTTGGGCCTGCCCAGCTTACTCCCACCTGGGCCTTTGCATTTGCCATCCTTCTCCTGGTTCTCTCCTCCCTTCCCATGCTTCTTGTTCTCCCAGTCACTTTAGTAAGCCTTCGGGGCCACCCTAGCAACAGTCCCTCTGCCCTCTCACTGAGCTTTTTTACTTTGCTTCCTTGCACCTGTTGTTCCTGGACATCACCAGACACATGCATTTGTTTACATCTGTCTTGTGAGGAGAATGGAGGGTGGGGAGGGAAGAGGTATGATCTGCTTTATTTACCACTGAATTCCTAGTGCCTGGAATAGAAGTTAGTACCTTTAGACACCCAAGAAATGCTTCTGAACAAAGGAAGAAGCAAGTTAGTGGCAATAGGTGCTTTCAGAGCAGGGATAGGGAGTGGRTTTGGGGGAGGGCAGGGTCCCTGTATGGCTTCAGTAAGGCCCAGTGGAGCAGAAGGAAGCAGGACCAATGCATGGGGTATGACCCTGAGCAAGCACGCAGCCCACCTCTGGCCTGTGCACAGACCACTTCATACCCACCCAGCATTCAGGAGGAAACAGAGAGGTCAGTACACAAGGCACGGGACTCTGGTTGGAGGAGAGCCTGTCTTTTGAAAAGTGGACCTGCTTTGCACACAGGTGAGAGGTGTGACTCAAAGGCCAGCAGTAGAGGGGCCAGGGTGCAGTCAGATGTGCAGCCAGCAAGTCCCAAGTGAGAGGGAACTTGGGGCTCGGGTGGGAGAGGGCAAGATTACCTGCAGGCAAGGGTTCTAGAGGGTGGGCATGCGAGCTACGGGCAGTACCTCCGCCAAGCGGGGCCAAGATGACCCGGCGGATGGCCTGCACCCAGTCCTCCATGTCACGCTGGGAGCTGGCCATGAGCAGGAGCGCCTCAGGGTTGGCTGGCACCTTCTCCCGCTCCCCGGCACCACCTGCAAGACAGGGAGACAAGGCTTATGCAGGGTCTGCATGTGGGACGACAGGGTGCCCACCCACTGCACGCTCTCCAGTCCTGACACCAACCTACACAGCCCTCCTTCATTTCCCGAGGAGAGCTTTCCAGAGCCTTCTGACTCCAGCCCTGCTTTTGGTTCATTTTCCAACCTATCTCCTTCACACCTCACCCATGTTTCTTTCTGGTTTTCTCTTTTCTCACTTTGTTTTTCTTATCAAAATAGAAATCATAAAAAGCATCTCAGATTGAGGTACAGTGGTACATGTCTGAATCCCAGTTACTCAGGAGACTGAGCCAGGAGGATTGAAAAAAAAAAAAAAGTTCAATCCCCAATATAGGAGGGAAAAAACAACAACAATGYACACAGGGCACTGTTAGGGGGAAAAATGCAGATTTTCAACCAGTGTCGGAGAAATTCAGTCCCCACAGTAGCCTCATCATGTGTTTTGTGAACATCACCTTTCCTTGCTTTAAATCCACATCACCGCATGGTTTTAACTTCAGCTCTGACCTGACAGCCTCCCCTCCCCATCCTGAAGACGAGACCAGATTCCCTAAGTCTACCTCTGTTACAGAGGATGGTTATTAAACCATCGCAGCTTGACACTGGACCCATATCTAAAGGCCAGAGGGCAGGAAACGTCGACCTCTTACGAACTGATCCTCCTGCCCCAGTGGCTCTCCTGGTTCTCAAATTTTCATGTGTAAATTACTTAATCTTTGAGATTATTCTGAATTTTATGGGCAATTTAAGGGACTCTGGGGGAGAGGGTATGAACTGAACCCAGGGCCTCATACACGCCAGGTAAAAATCCTCTACCACTAATCATACCCCAGCCCCATCTAAAAAATTTTAAGAACAAGCCTGCCTTTATACACCCCACTCTTCATATCCCATAATATGTAATTCAGAATTACTTTCTTAAAGCCCCAATGTGTCAGACACTAACCAGGACCATCTGCTAGTGAGTGTTAAGTCCCTGACACCCATATTCCCAAGGGAGTATAAAGGCAGTTGGGGAGCATCCTGAGACCCAGGCTGCTCCTCACTGGAGTTTGTGGCCCAGGGTTGGAACCCAGATGGGGAGAAGTGCTTCCTGAGCATAGAACATGTGCGTGTGTGCGTGTGCCAACAGCAGAAGTTTTTCATTTTACAAGGTTCAATTTATCTTTTTTTTTTTTTGATTGGGTGTGCTTGAATTGTATTGTGTTGTATCTGAGAAAAGTTTTGCTTAACCCAAGGACATAAAAATTTTCTCCTAGTTTTTCGTTTAGAAGTTTCATAGTTTTAAGATTTCCATTTAGGCCTAAGGGTTAATTTTTCTACGTGCTATAAATTCATTCTGCTGTATGCAGATGTTCCCGCACATGCTGGAAAGCCTATCTTCTGCTTGCTTGCCAGGTACCTACGTAGGGGACCCTGCTGCCTGCAAATAAAGACAGGTTGAATTTTACAAAGGACTTCTTCCTTTCCAGTTTGGGCACTTTGTATTTCATTCTAATTTCACAGATTAGAGCCTCAAATATCATGTTGAATAGAAGCGGCAAAAGCAAGAACCTTCTGATTCCTGATCTTTAGGCATTCAGATCTTCATCATTAAGTATATCCATGATAGGTTTTTTCAAGGATATATTTTATTAGGTTAAGGAAATTCCTTCTATCTAATTTACAGAGAATTTTTATCAGAGATAGATGTTGGTTTTGTCAAATGTCTCTTTTGCATCTATTGAAATGATCCTACTATGGATGAATTACTTAGTACAATCATTTCAGTGGGTTTGCAGATGTTAAACCAACCCTGAATACCTGAGATAAATCCCACCATCCTGTTCACATATAGTTGGGTTTAATCTTTTTGAGACTTTACTTTTCTTTCATGAGGGAAATGGGCCTGCGATTATCTTCTCCTGTAATGTCTTTGTCTGATTTTGGCATTGGGGTGATCCTGGCCTCACAGAATAACCTGTTAAGGATTTCCCACTTTTCAATTGTTTTTAGAGAGTTTGTATAGTGCTTCTATTATTTCTTCTTTAAATATTTTGTAGAATTCACCAGTGCAGCCAGCTAGGTCTGGAGCTTTCATTGTGGGAGGTTTTTTGTTTTGTTTTTTTGTTTTTGATCTAGTTAGTGATACATGACAGTAGAATGCATTTTGACACRTCATACATAAATGGAGTCTAATTTCTCGTTCTTCTGGTTGTACATGATGTAGAATCACACGGGCTGTGTAATCACACATACACAGTGTAATAATGTCAGATTCATTCTACTATACTTCCTACTCCCACACCTCTCCCCTCCCTTCACTCCCCCCTACCTAGTCCAAAATAACTCTATTCTTTCCTAGCCCCCACCTCTTATTGTGAATTAGCATCTGCCTATTAGAGAAAACATTCGGCCTTTGGTTTTTAGGGATTGGCTTATTTCACTTAGCATGATGTTCTCCAGCTCCATCCATTTACTGGCAAATGCCATAATTTTATTCTTCTTTAAGGCTGAGTCATATTCCATTGTGTGTGTGCAGGGGGGTTCACAATAAATTTCTATTTTTTTAATATGTACAAAGTTCTTTATAATATTCCTTTATTACCCTCTTAACATTTGAAGAATCTCTAGTTACAAGACCTCTCACTGATATTGAAGATTGATCATTTATGTCTTCTCTCCTTTCCCCCTGATTAGTCTTACTGACTTTTATCCATCTCAAAAGCTAGCTTTTTAAAAATTTTGTCTATTGTTTTTCTGAGCTACTAAATGTTGTTGAAGGTTGGATGGTAGATATCTTAGGTTTATAGGCCAGATAGACTTTGTCACAACTTCTCCACTCTGGGGGGAAAAGAGAAAAAACAGCTACAAGCCATATGTAAATACAAGGGCTTTGCTGCATTTGGGTGAAACTTAACTTACAAACACAGGCAGCACCTGCAGTTTGCCAGTCTGTATTCTATTTCACTGATTTCCACTCTGATCTGTAGTATTTTYCTCTGCTTGCCTTGGGTATAACTTGTCCTTTTTCTAAATCTTTATGCATTTCCTGTTACAATTGTCTCCCCTAATTACTGTGTGGTGGGCATCCCCTAAGTATACCGTGCTTTCATTTTAATTCAGCTCAAATACCTTCTAACTTCCCTTTGGATTTCTTATTTGTTCAATGGGTTATTTGGAAGTGCATTAGTTTCCAAATTTGGGGGAAATTTTCCAGAAATCTCTGTTTCTTTTTTTCTAATTTGATTCCTTATGGTGTTTGGCTTGAATCCTTTTATATCTATTAAAACCCGGTTTTGGCCCAGAGTACAGCCTATCTTTGTAGCCGCTCTGTGTGCACTGAGAAGAATTATTCTGCGGGGGATGGAGAGAGTGATCTATAAATGTCACTTTGGTCTGGTTGGAGAGTTTTGTTCAAGTCTTCAATATTCTTACAATTTTTCTACTTGTTCTATCAATTATGAAAACAGGGTAATTGAAAGCTCCATTTTCTATTTGTCTATTTTTCCTTTTGCCTTTGTCAGTTTTTCTCTATGTAGTTTGAAGCTCTGCTGTTAGGAGCATAAATATTTAAGACTGTCATGTCCTCTTGGCAAATCCCCTTTACTGTTATGAAATGACCTTCTTATCCCTAGTAACAATCTTTGTCTCATATAAAGTCACTCCAGCTTTCTTTTGATTAGCGTCAGTATGATATCTTTTCCCATCTTTTTACTTTTAACTTATTTATGTCTTTATATTGTAAGTGCATTTCTTGTCATGCTTATGGTTGGCTTTTGCTTTTTTGTCCAATCTGACAAGCTCTATTTATAATGTGATTGTTGCTATGCTGAGGTTTAAGTCTGTCTTCTGTTTTTCATTGGTCCCATTTGTCCTTCTCTTCTTTACTTTGTTTTTTCTTTTTTTATGATTTCATTATATCTCTTTTGTTGGCTTATCAGTAAAAAAAAAAAAAAAAAAAAAAAAAAAAAAAAACCTCTTTGTCCTGTTCAGAAGTGAAATTAATACTACCATACCTAAGGGTGTACTCTATGTGTAATACTGGGCAATGTACTTAACATATACTGTCACACACAATCCTCATAAACACTTTGGCTTAGGAGTATTACTGAGAAGTTGAACATTTAGCTCACAAGCAAACAAGTGGAGGGGACAGGATGCAAACCCAGGTGTGTTCACCCATAAACTTGTTCTCTATCATCAATGTAAATTTATGGCAATGGAGAGAAGTGCAAAGAAAATGAAATAAGTTATTAAAACAAACTTTGGGGGGACTGGGGATGTCATTCAGTGCTACAGTGTTTGTCTAGCATGCAAAATTTTGCACTGCATCCCACCCCTAGCACCATGAAAATAAACAAAATAAAACAAGCTCTGGGATTTTCTACAGCATTTGGTTATTTACACCTCCTTTTCTCTGTTACTTAGGAAGGGCTCATATTAGCTTTAAAGAAAAAGGTTGTAACAGCAAGTATTTCAGAAAGAAAGATGAGGGTCTCTAGTTGCTGTTCCTGGACTTTCCTTTCACCAGTCCACATGGTCACTAAGTCGCCACCCCACCCACCCCACTACACACAGCTCAGGCCTCAGTACCCTCTTAGACAGTGCTTAGAGCCCACCCTGGGTCGACCTCAGCTCCGCCACATGGAGCGCAGGGACTCAACCTCCCTACGCATCAGAGTCACACTGCTGTAAGGAGAAGAAATGGGCTATTTCCTTAGCTTAGCACCTGGGAGCTAGCAAGCACTCCTAAACATTCATTTTTATTATCATCTCAATTTAGTACCATTTGGAGCAGGATCTCTCAGCCTTAACACTACTGACATTTGGGGCCAGATGGTTCTTTGTGGGGGCTGGGGACTGTCTTGTGCACTGGAGGATGTTTAGCAGCATCCCTAGCCTCTACCCATTAGATGCCAGTAGCAGCCTCTCCTCCTTCCCAGGTGTGACAATCACAATTTCCTCCACATAGTGCCAAATGTCTCCTAGAG